CGTCAGTTCAGCTATTTCGCGAGATTAAGACAATTTTAGTGGACACAATTATTTGATGGGGCAAGATATAATTCAAAGATCGATCTTCGTTTCAGCTGACTTTATCGTGTTTGAGTCGCTTAGTTCGCCAGGACAATGTGTTTCAAGTCGTCAAATCAATTTGCGAGGCTTTGACATTTCTCGTGGACATGATCATTTGATGAGACAGGGTAGTTCCACCAGGACAAACTATTTTCAGCAGTCAAATCAATTCGCGAGGATAGGTCACTTTTAGCGCACTGTGTATTTTGACGCGCTTCACGTGATAGAGTCATGTGGAATAAGCAGTTGCAATCTAAGCCATTTTCATCCCCACATATCAGGCGGTTCGAAGTGCACAGGAGAACGGTACTCAATTACTTCTTTGGGAAAACACACATAAGGCTAAGATGCTAAGACACCCTCCTTTAGATGCTGAGACAACTCCCCAAAAACTACCCCGTATTAACATACGTGAGTTTGAAGCGTTTGCCCGTTTCGTGGAACGAAACGGGTGTGAAATTAGTGCCCGTATTGGGAAATCCTGTACCTCAATTAAGCTCACTCCAGCGACACGTGACCATTGAGTTTGCGTCTATCACGGCGTCAGAGCTTATTTACCGTCGGGACCCAAAGTAGCGGCTGACTTGTAAGTCGTTAAAACAGACATCTTATCGACAATCTTCGCACTTGATGGACATTGACGTTTAGAACTTCAGACCGACGCTTTCGACATTCAGCGGAAAACAGGCAATATGACACTCTGGACCTCACAATATGGACAAACTTTTTCCTCAACTTGTGGACTTTGATGTGTTAGAAAGCAAAACTTCCATTCGACGATCATTGAGACCCGGAAAGGCATCAATCTTTAAAGAGGCAATACATAAGCGTTGTAGACAAATGTTGCAAGTAGCGATATTTACCAATCGACGATATTTAATAAGTTGATGCGACATTCAGTTTTGTGAAAAAGGTACTCCAACATTCATAGTCACATCAAACTGTAAGATAGGCACATGTGCCAATGTAGGATATTTGGCTACTCGAGGGCAATTGGCGATTTCTGGATGCTTTCGTCGCTGCGCGGAGACTTACCGCTGCGCGAGCAAAATTGATTTTGCGTGGACCAAGCTAGCGATTTTTTTTCCGTTCTTTTCTGAAAATACTGTATATCGACGTCCTGACCGTTGTCAAATCATTTATTCTTGTCGCGTTTCTTATTGATTTTGTGGTATGCCATCACCAGAACACGTCTTGAGCAGCAAGTCGCACTCGTCGCTCATACGCCCAGAACCCTTGCACCGCACTAATTTGGGTATACCACTGATCTATACACCCTAAGCTAAACTCATTAAATGCTTTTTGATTCGACATTATGGCTCACAGAGAGACAAAGTATGTGATTTGTGCTACTATAGTTGATATGAAATCTAAACTAACTTCATAGAATACGGCGTTGCGTCGACCGCTGCAGGCGTGGTGTTCTTCCTCCTTGGCATAGTGACATTCTTTGATTCCAGTTTGCTCGCAATCGGCAACATTTTGTTCATAATCGGCGTCGTGCTCATTATTGGGCCCTCCAGGACGATATACTTTTTCGCCCGACCTACAAAAATCAAACCAACCCTCTTCTTCTTCGGCGGTATTTTTCTAATCTTGATGAAACACTCTTTCATAGGGTTTGGATTGGAGTCGGTGGGAATATTGTTTCTTTTCGGCGATTTCTTCGGCACCATTGTGCTGTTTCTAAGATCATTTCCGATCATTGGACCTATCTTAAAGCACCCTGCGATCGAGCCATACATCAATCGTGTGGCTGGCTTAGACACTTTGCCCGTCTAATGACCAAAAAAATATATGACTGGACATGCTAATTCATGCTCATTCGGGTCTTATTTGAGAGCGAGAGGAAAAGAACAATTCCGAGATTTGTATAGCAGAGGTTGGGTGGATCGAAGATATTAGGATGAAGTCATAGACGCGCCACAGCGCCGGAAACATCACCAACACAGTCCAACACAAAATTGCATATTTTGAGACAATAGAGAAGATCGCACCTTTGGTTGATGACACCAGTTATGGAATTTTCTGCCGGCGCATATATATTGCAAGCCCGAACGCGCCCCATATTTCGTTGATGGTACTGTAAATTAGTCTCCGCATTTAGCCCTAATATAGCTCTTAGAAGAGGTATCCAGAGTATCGTCCTCGGTAGGAATGAACGTATTGATGGGTGCAGTTGTGGATGAATCGGCTTAAACGAGCTGAGTTTTGATTGAATCACCATGCTGTCGTTTCCAGCTCGCAGCAGGGGCGAGCCGAAGTTGATCCAAACTACCTCTCCAGGCAATTGCAGTATCATGGACAAAACGGCTTGATCCAGCAGTGCCAGGGTGAAGAATATGTTCGAAGAGTTAGCAAAGATATGTCTTAATGTACCAACAACAATGTCTGGGTGATAAATGAGGCCAGAGTGTGCCGAGTCGTTGGGAAGAATGTGCGCCACGATCGTCAGTTGTTGGCTTCCGAAAGGAAGATCGGGATTTAATGAACGATTTCCCGGTCTATCGGTCACCTGTATCCTATTTAAGGGTATCAAACATTCTCGCAACGTGCCGTATAAAACACTCTTTTCAAGAAATTCCCAATGGTTACCTCTCAAGCTGGATATCGTGCTTACGCCGCACCAAGGTTCGACACCGCGCTCTAAACGGGAAACATCGAAAAGGTCCACAACAAATATTTTTATAGTGCGGCCAAAATATTGTTGGAGGCAGAAGGCGACCAAATGTGACACGAGTGGCGATTGGTGGGAAACAACAAATGTCAACATAGAGAGCGCGTGGAAAGCCGTTCGGAGGTCATCACAAATGACTTGCGTCCCGCCTCTCTCGCTTGTCCGAATAGGAATGTTACTCAAAGAAATTGTGCAGCGACGCAAAGCACGACGCAAAGTACTGCGAGTTGAGACGTAATCGCGCAATGCATTCCGCGGGCGGCATTGGCGCCACTTGATTTCCCCGTGAGAGTCTAAGAGACCCTGATTATTGTACTTCGGCAGACCCCTAGAAGGATTTCAACATCTTTAAATATTTGAAGAGCCAGAATCGCTTCAACAGCATGATTTGTATCCGAAGAGACTTTCAACTTGGTCGCTACCCGCGACATTTATGTATGTCGTCAAATCTAAGCCTCGTAAGTTTGATACACAATCTTGCTTCAATTCTATACAATGCTGAAAGCCTGAAATTGTGACCAAAGTCGGACTAGCTAACCCGGATATTTTTTATGTTCAACCTTGGCAAATACTACAAAATGAAGAACGCTAAACAAATATTAGGCTAACTGTATCGTGGGCGTGCTAATTGCTTCAGACAGAGAGGTGTTGGAAACAAATGGTCCAAGTTTTTGAAAAACGACCCATTGGTCATGTTTGAAGGCTTGGAGCCTGATTGTGATGAGCATTCACCCCCTGGTTGGGCGGTTGATTCATAAAGCTCGTAAAGCAGAAACCGAAGTTTTTTCGCACGAATACGAGATTTGACATATTGGAAAAAGAAGCTGGCCAAAAATAAGGTAGCGACAAGAATCACATGCGCTTGCAGCAAACATACAGATGCACCTATTGCGAAGCTATGTACATGAGCATGCGAGTCGTGCGGCTGTTTTCCACTCGAATGAGTGTGTGGTAACAAATAGTAGTGAGGTCTCGCGGGACATAAGACAAGAATCTTCATTCTCTCGAAGGTGAGAGACTTGAGCTTTATTGGAACTGTGTCTGGCTCTGTGAGTGATCCGTGTGCTTTTTTTTTTTGGAATATACAGTGCCCATTTCAATACTTCGTGGACCACTTTACAGTGGGCTCTCTAATTTTTCAATGCACCAGTTTGCAAGTCCAGATTGGGCCGTCCGGAATCTCCGGTTCTTTCGGCGAGCAGAGAACCGTTTCGGATTTCTTAATGCAAGGGATAAAGCTCGAGGTACGTACATAGGGTCAAAAATCCCTGAATCTTGCTTTTGATGGCCCTCTCTATGAGCAAGGTGGGGCTGATACCTGCTTGCTTGAGTGCACATTGGTTAGCATAGATATCACTACTGCTGCTCCAGGTTGCTACTAAACTGTTGTATCAGATTATGCATATATAAAATCTGGTGAACTCGATGCATTGCTCGGTCGTAGGATAGACGCATGCAAAAACGAGCATTCACAGCACTAAGACATCCTCACAATCTCAGCGAAGGCCGTAAATATCATTTTGCGAAACACAGTTATCTGATATAGGCTGCTTATCCCAGAGTCTTTCAATTTTTTACTCACACTCACGATCACAGCCATGCCATATATGTAGAGCCTCAGAATTGTTCTTTCTTCTTAAAATTTATCACAATTTCATCGACATCTTTCCGTAGAGCGTCTGCATCTTTTCTAAAGATGTATGCGTCCATCATCGGAAGTTTCGAAAGATCCGTCACCACGTGCCTATTTTCAAACGCATATTGCGATTGGGGCAAGTTCTCGGACTTTTCTTGCTCTTTTTTCTCGGGGATCCCCCCAGAAAGAGGCAAACTTTAGTTGTAGGAAACGGCCGCTGAACAGTCAAGAACTGTGTGTATGGACAAGAAACATGCATACGTCTGACAAGACCAATACATGCCCGACCTTACCTGAGCTTGAGTCTGCCTCCTTAGCCTAGCCGCTGTCTAGGTAGCGTCAACCGGTCGGTAATTTACTTCATTTACTATCCAATTATGATTTTTTTTAATAGAAACAAATCGATTAAACAGGAAACCGCGGTTAAACGGTCAAAAATCTATATATCTATAGACAAAAAACCATGAGGTTGGAGGACGGAAATGTGCAACACTGCGGCATTCGTATTTTATATAAAAATACCTGCATACGACATCACAATACTGCATATTTACGTAATTCAAACAAATTCGTTTGGTTAAGCAGGAATAATCTCTCTCAGCGTTCTCCGTGATAGTTTAGTGGCTAGAATCGGCGCTTGTCGCGCGCTGGACCGGGGTTCGATTCCCCGTCGCGGAGTTTTTTTTGAATTTTTTACTTCTGGTCATTACGCGAACGAAGATGGGCTGGATTCTACGAAGCAGCTGATCTTCGCACACTTGGACCATCATCACGCTTGTTGCATTATGTCGAAGGTCAACAGGCGCAAAGAAATAAAGGAAAAAGAGGATTTTCAAATCAAGTTTCAACTTGCACTTTCTGCCAACAACAAGAACGTTTTACAATGGCTACCGAAAGCTAAGGACGAGTTGTCGAACATAAGCGAGAACCTCGAAGAAGATAAGGACCTGTTTCTAGATCTACCAGTAATCCCCAATGGTGCTGGTCTTTCTGCACTAGATAAAGAGGATTTTAAAAACGATTCCCATACAATCGGCTCATTTCTCAACGCCGATAACGTCCCGAAAAGTCAGCCCTCGAATACTTCTAGAGAAGCAAGAACGGGCTCGAAGGCCATGTCTGCCTTGATGAACAAGATGCGAAGCGATACACGAAACAATATCTCGAACAAGTATCAAATAAGCAAGGATCAAGGAAGTCGATTCCCAAGACTGAAAATATTGGAGGATGTAAAGAAGCAGAAGCTAGCGAGTAAGCAAAAAGCCGCTCCAGACGCGCTGGAACTTGACAGTGATGATGAAGACTCAAAGCTGAGGCAAATAAGCGGGAAGAAGATTAAGATGCCCCACTTCGGCAAGAAAGGCAAAGGAAGACCATTCTGAGCTTTGTTATACTTAATTTCCTACATGCTTCCTGAGTGAAGTGACAGGGACTCCGTTCGAAGTGACTGTGAATTCAAGAGCCACACTGAGCACGATTTCTAATGTGTAGTTTGTGTCATGCAAAGCAAAATTCGATTGCTATCAATGTATAAAAACAAACTCATTCACCGGATCTATCATCCGACCGAGTATTTAGGCAGCTGTCGCCACGTAAGTCCAACATAAAATCTAACTTTGGTAGCTTTGGATGACGCAGCGCGGCATCTGAGGCTTCGTGTGATGTAGATGTGGTGGGAAGACACTCTTTGGGTTGATTCTTCGTGCGATCTTCGCAGCTTGGAGGAGGCGAAAGCCGCAAATCGCCAGTATAAGAAACTTCTTCATGCTCTTTCACGGCCTTCGATGCAGTCGGGGGCGCCAACTGAGGTAATGAACCAACCGACAGAAGTCTTCCGGTGGATATGGAGGATACAGACGAGCCGTTTGAGAAAATTGAAGATTGCTGAGTGTTTATTGAATCCACACTTCTCATCAACGCGTTCGTTTGCGGTGGTCGCGTCGAGTGTAGCTCCACAAGCGAAGGTCTTATTCTATCTGCAAAAGAGTTTCCGTTCGTATCACCCAAAAGCGCTTTCCGCATGTCATCTGACCTGGACCGAGCCATCGAAAGTGAATCTGGCTTGGCTGTTTGCAAGACTGGGGACGATCCGGAACGCGATGGTAGCGTGGGTCGCGGTGATTGGCGAATGTGCCCATGAGAGACAACGGAGCTTCTGCTTACCGATGGAATGGGAGTCGGCGCGCCGCTTTGCTGGCTTAAGGAACTCGAAGGACCTGGCAGGCCTTCCTTGTTGAACGGATCACAAAGAAGGGATGGGATTCGGTTGCTGCGGAATTCTGACCCCTCAAATGGCTTACGAAATTCGAAAGACGGTCGACTCTGGCTGGAACTTAAGCCAATCTTTGGGTGTTTTGAACTTTTCCAATCGGTCAGACTGGTTCTGTCCAGTGTGGCAGATGTGAAACTTTGAGGCAAAGGAGGTACAGAAGACTCGGTTGGAGGAAGCAGAGCCTTCTTTGTACTCGAGAGCACCGGCGCCTTGCATGATTCAGCCTTTTGAAACCCATGCACTGTTTCAGCAAACCTCGACGTAGTCACATCAGCTTGGACACTGCCTGACATAAAGTTTTGAACGTTTTCTCTCGAGGAAGCGTTTAATTGTGTCAGTGCATGGAACATGCTCAGCCGCAGCTCATGCGACGTGTGAGGTTGATACATTGGCAGCAAAGAATACGCTTGTGCAACCCGTGACGCATGATCGGGCGACATTTCCAGCGGAACCCGATGAAAATACTGTGGCTCGGTGCCATTCCAAGAAAAAGGCCCTGGGCTTTCTGGGCTAGGGGTAGTGGCCGATGAGAACACAGCGGCTCCCGGATTTGCAAAGTAGATAGGGTTATGAGAGGACTGTTGAAGCCCTGGCTGGCCTTGTGAATAATGAATAGAATACACATTGCGTTCAGGGTAAATCGGGGTCGGGTATTGCTGAGCTAAACCTGGTTGAGGGTACAACGGTGGCTGCGGGTACCCTTGAAAGTAGGCATCGTATTGTGGCGTGACTTGCTGGTGATCGAGCAGTGGCTGGATATGCGAAACAACGCCCCTTCTTTCACCAGCAGAATTCCGATGCGGGTTCGCTTGCAGTCGTCTTCTTATTTGCGCCAAAGCCGCCTCGTCACCTTGGCGAAATTTGCCTGATGAATGGCGGAACTCCCAAATGAGTGAAGATTGAGCGGTATACGCTGACAGTGAATCACTTACTTTGTGAAAACCGTACATGTGAAGCTGTCGAACAAAACTGGCCACGTTTCCATGCTTGAAGTACCCGCCCAATGCTGCAGCAAACTCGTTCCCTGGACATAGCGAGAAAGTGTGACCTTTCGGGCTTCCTGACCACCAAATGAGATGAGAAAGGCTTTCTTCATTTAGCATACTGTACAACTTATGGACAAAGGCATTCTTTCTCACGGGGGGATCTTGAGCTCGCAGGTTTGCTGGGACCATTCTTTCATGAGCCGAAGTCTTCCTGGTGGTGCCAGTAGGGATGTGACACAAAATTGATTTCAGGGAGAAGGAATTCGCAATACGCAAAAACGTCGGCTCCTATTTGGGTATTTGCGAGCACAAGATTTGCTCGGGTCGTCGGAACAAGGAGGTTGTCCTTTGATACCCCGGAATAATTGCAGTTTTGTGGGCCCACGTATAGATAGAGGGAACAAGAAGGAAGGAATGATGCAAAGGAAAAAGGAAGTTTTAGAGGTTTGCAGAAACCAGATCTCTAGGACATATGGAGCGGATGCATAAGTGAAATATCAGACCGGGAATTCAAGATTTTCATTTGCCCCACTACACACTCAGCATGCGCAGGTAGGCGCTGTGCTGCAAACTACGTAACAAGCAAGCCTGTCGCTAAGACGCAGGACTAGGCAAAAACCTACGGGCTGCGACATGCGCGAGTGCGCGCCGAGACTTCCTCGAACCGACCAGACAATGCGCTTTGCCATAGCCCTCAGAGACACTTACGTTGGAACAATGAGCCATTAAAAGCGGGCGCAGAGGTGAACAATGGGCATGTGTGATACCTGCCGAGAAGAAAACGCCACCATACGCTCCATTACTTTCTCAACGACCGCTAGGAGCGTAAACATCTCAATGGTGGCCTCACTTTTGGGTGCACAACTTTGGTGAATCATGGGACAAAGCAATCTTATGTGGACCGCATTATGTCATACACGAATTAAGACATCTTGCATCGAAGGTGGTAGAAGTGAAAGGAATCTTCTGAAGTGCATTTTTGGGTATGCCTTTTTCAGATCCAGTCGGTAACTCATCATCATGCAAGTGAACACGTATGGTGCTTACTCGCAAACCACAAAGCTCAACAAACGATTGAGCGGGTACTTTTCTGCATAAGGTTGCATTGCAGCGCTTTTATGTCTGTATATAACGTATAATGTCTCCTCGAAACCTTACATGCCTGAGCTCGCGATGCGAGCCGATGGTGCATGCGCAATTATCTTGAATTACAATAGCTCGCGCTGAGGTGCACTGGTGAGCGCGAGCATCAGCGCGATAATCTACTAGCGCGGCACAGATCCCATAGTTTACTGATAACAATTAGTTTTGAACAGGAGAACGGCAGTTCCATAGCAAATATCAGGCTCAGCTCGAGCGCGGCCGCTCTTGATTGTCTAATGATGAGCTTCGATTGTTAAACGCAGGAGGTATGAGGGGTAAATGGAATACCAAATGTCAATATGCTCAGCCACTCTCATTATAGCAAGACGGTGCCCCGGGCTTGATCGCAGGCAAAATCGCAAATTATTTCCAAGCCCCCTAAGCTTTAACAATAGTGTAAAGCGTCACTTCCTTGAGTAAACAATTTTTTTAGAAATTCAAAGAGGAACGCACAGTACAATCCCGTTGACAATTATGAACTCCTGTAATGTATATTATACAGGCCGGTCACTGGATATGTGAAGTGCAATTCCTCTTTTCATCAACAAGCATCACTTACTTTGGGATCTCCCCATGACGTTGAGCGCTAGAGTAATGACAGGCACTGGGAATCTTCAAGTTACACTTTCGAAAGAAAAGAAAATGAGGGGCGTCACACCAGCTAAAATTAAACTATACGTTTGCCCTTCGCCGCCTTTAACAATCACCAGAGGAAATGAAATACGCATATGCACCACATCAGATTTAAAAAGTAATTCTCGCTTTTGGTGGCTTCGAATAGATTCATTGAACACTGCTTGTTTGGTTCGCCCCTGGTTACTCCAGGAGAACAGCATCGCAAGGGAAGTCGGATGCTTCTGCAAGAGACATGTCACGCCATGCTTTGTGGCAGGCCTCCATGGTGTGTGAGTTCTTGCACAATGAGATTTTGGCGATGTGCCCTCCTAGTAGTGATGCTCCTTTGCATGTTCGCTGGCCAGGATCTCACAAGTATTTCTTAAAGGCAGCTATCAAAATCTTTGACTTGGGCACGATACCTGATGGAATATTCAATGGAAAGAAAACCTAAGTCAAATGTGACATCGGGCAGTTCAATAGGAGGTACGCGTGACTTACACCTTTCTCATGGATCTGGACATCAGCTGTCGTGAACACGGAAGCATGAGCAAAACGAGAAAACAGCTGTATGTTGTCTGATCTGCATGATTATCGAGGCGTAAGATCCATAGCGTTGAAGGAAGCATAAGTAGCTTCAATGCATTGGCTAATCGAACTTT